TGTACGGTCTTTGATCCTGGTTCGAATCCACTTGCACGCAAGTGTAGCGCAGCTGGATGAGTCCTAATGTAGCGATTCTGATACTGTTCTATGCAAGGTGGAGGGAAGTTTAAATCAGTCCCAGTGCAGCTCCACAGGTGAGACTTCGATTGACGAAGCTTGGATGTGCCAGCATGCGACCCCTGGAGATGCAGAAAAAATTGTTCGATCCGTACTGTTGAGAATACGTGGGTAGGCTACTGGGCTTTCCACATTCTAGTCTGCCATACATCTGGCAAGAACAATGATGATCCTCGTTCCAACTGTTTGAGGAATTGGACCAGTTGTTGACAATAGCGATGCTTTAGCTGACCTGTGTGGCTCCACTTTATTTGCATCGAAGAGTTCCACGTCTGCTTTGTGAGCAGGCTTCAGAATCAGTGAAGCTGAATGGTAGAGTGTAGCCTTGTGAACGCTAAGGTCAAGGGAACGAATCCCTTTCTCTGCCTCGCCAGGACGAACGAAGGCCGGTACTGGAGCAGAATTGATAAGTACTCGAGCGAGTGGATGTGGATGGCTTCAACTGTGATATCTTTCAGGTGCAACAGGAATGTCAGAGCGGAGGGCTCACACTGCTCCCTCTGGACCGGAGGGCTCACACTGCTATTGAAGGGGCCCGTGGGTGTATAAGGTGGTGGCTACGGTGTGGCCTCCTGATGCTGCAGGGAAAGGGGTAAAAAACAATGGTTGGCGGAATGCGAAAGCAACGGATCTGCGAAAGTACACGGCGCATGAGGAACGGGGTTTCAAGGTACTGGTGCGGTGACAATATAGGAAGAGGATGAGGTAGTGAAGGAGCGAGCACTACAGGAGTGTTCGTGGACTTCTCAAGGAGAGACAGCAAGACTAGTGAGGATGGCTCATGGCATCAGGATTCGCATGGCAGGAGATTTGAAAAGAGAGAAAGCAAAGAAACCGGAATGGGAAAGCAACAGCACGAGAAAGCAAGCAAGGAAACGGCAACGCAAAACCAAGGGAAAAGGAGCACGATTGATATCTTGCATTTGTGTTCGCTGATGATTGGACAGGGGCCTCAATTTCCGGGAGAAAGCATCTACAATCAATTGTAGTTTGAACCGTACCCGAAACCAACGCAGGTGAACAAGTAAGAGTATGCTAAGGCGCTTGAGATAACCATGTTGAAGGAACTCGGCAAAATGACTCCGTACAACCGGGAAGAATATCTCGGATAGGAAGTAAGAGCAAGAGCTCAAAAGTAGGTTGAGTGGTCGGCACAAGGTAGTAGTCCAGGAACTGAAATCCTCCGTTAGCCTGAAGGTAGGTAGTGGAGAGTTAAGGGGAATGCTGGTGACAAGGAGGGGTTGGGAATGAGTGCATGAACTTGTTGTGCCTCTATAGGTTGAGATGGACAATCAGCTGCAAGAGCCAAAGGCAGTAAGGTGTCAATTACCAGGGGATGGTGGTGCAAGTGCAAGCGCCAATAAAACTAAGGCGCCAACTAGTAGTGAATCTTGAGAAGCAGAAGGCAATGAATCTGTGTTGTCGGCAAGGTTGCATGGCGGGGAATGGATGAGAGTGGTTGGGAGAAAATATGCGCTGAAGCAACTGTCAGACGGTGCGGCATGTGTACTGAGAGCTTGAAATCCATGCTAACTAACTGCAGCAGAACTTGGTTGTGATGGGTTGAATTGTGTCCATGAAAGCTAGGGACCGATAGGACGTGTCTATAGTGGTTATTAAACTTTTTATATCAATAGGACATGTCTATAGTGGTTATTGAACTTTTTATATCAATAGGACATGTCTATAGTGGTTATTACACTTTTTATATCGATTTTTATGGGTGACTGCTGTATGTTTTCAAAGCATTTGGGAAATGTCGCGAAGAAAAACGAAAACAAAAAAAAAAGCATTTGGTTTAATGTGACGTTGAGGATAAAGATCAAATGCCAGAGTTCTGGTGATGTATTTCGGAGTTTTTTTTTTTTTGCACTAATTCCTTCCTGTTTGCGGAGCTGTCTTGCCCGCCTTTCTTCGACCATGTTTCGTTGGAGCCTGGCCTTCCTCTCTCTCTCTTTTTGAGGAGCTGTTTTGTTAGAGCCTGGCCGATCTCTCGCATGAACACCTCTGTATTTCTGCTTCATGATGTTTGACATTGCCCTGACCTCACGGAGGTTCTTCTTTTGCCCCCTCTCCTGGTCCTTGCACACACCGAGTAAGCATGCTGGATGTCGACTCACGTGTCCGGCAGAAGGGGAGATGTGTTTTTCATCACCCCACTTTGTCGGCCAACAACGTCCTTGTCCAAAAATTTGTTGATCCTGGCACCCAGCTGTTTTACGGAGTAACAATAGTAGTTAATACTCTTGCAATTTTGTGTGATGATTCATTCCTATCTGGCGAAGTAGTACCCTTTGCTAAGCATCTATTTAGTATTTATCCCTTTTGCAGACATATGGGTCTGAAGTTTTGAACTTTGAAGTGCAATTTATTTGTCTTGCTAAATGGAGCACAATTACTGAGAGTGTGGTCAGCCGGTGGCATACTGTTTATTCCGAAGGTGCACTGTACAGTGCAATTATGCCCTTGCAGTTTTGTGTGATAAGTCGTCCGTATCCAATGACGATGCTAAGCAGCTGTTCGCCCATCCTCTACCTATGGGTCTGATGCGCAGTTCCATTTTGTCTTGGCAAGTGGAGAATGGCGCGCTGTTAATGCTGAGGATGTATTTCAATTTTTGAAAGGCTATAAATTCCTCTTTCCCTGCTGTCATTTATTATTTATATATATCTTAGCGTCCAGATGAGTCCGTGAAACTCTGACGAAACAGTTTGTCACAGCCCCTTGTTTGTTGCTCTCTTCTCCCTCTCTGCCTACGGTTTTCGGGGCATCTCTGTTTGACGATATATATATCAAATAGTATCATATATGAATGTATTGTTCATTTCTTGGCTTTCTCTGAACCCCAGCTTTATATCCCACAGATGGCTTTTTTCCTAGCCAGATGCTCCTGGCTCCTGTTAAGCACGCTGCTTGCTGCTTCGTTCCTCCCAGCTTGTGCTCAGGTTCCCTTGAACAGCCAAGCAAATTGCAAAGGGGTAATAAGAACGATGATTCAAAATTTTGTGAACAAATCGGTATGCCTAAGCCTCTACCAGCAGTAGGTAGGTAGTGACAGAGCTTGAGAGAAGAATAAGAAGACCCCCTTTTAAACCGCAGACACCGAGTTTGTATAGCCGACGTTGGATAGTGATTCTTAGATGGAATCCGTAGTTTTGTGAATTGGATACCTGTGTTTTTGACACCTTACACTTTTGAACCTCAGATACTGATTCTAAGATGGAATCCATAATTTTAGAAATTTGAGACCCCATATTTTCGAACCTGTCCCTCCTCCCCCCGAACTCACTGCAGCCTGCAAAACGAGGGTACGGTGAACTATCAAATAATTAATTGAAAGGTGCAGGCTAGTTTGTGATTGCTCATGCCGGTGCATTTCCGGCCACGTTGCGGTTACATATGTCATATTATCAGCGTTGTGTGGCAATTAGCACGAGGAGGGTGTGTAGGTAGATGGAATGGTGAAGGGACAGCCTTGTGGGCGATGTGTGGGCACCTTGTTCTTGTTGCAGGACGTACATCAGCAAAAGCTGGTCTCTTAGCAATATGCACGCACATTGCCCTCGCCAGCAAGAATATTTTTTTCAGATGCCTCTGTCGTTTCCTTGTTAGAACTGGATTTGTGCAGTCATTGAGGCCTTGTGTGGGAGCATGCATGCAAGTGTACTCGTCGGGAAGTGAATTTGGCCAAATGACAAATGAGTTCATTTCCCTCTCACACAAGCACACAGATGTGTGCACACCGGCATTCGTTTGGGTTTGATGTCCGCTGCATGTTTACTCGACACAGACAACTGAGAGCGCAGACGTGTCACCTATCTATTTCTCCGAACACGATATCCTGAGTACCTATGATAGTAACCAACTTACTGCGTCTGCCAAGGAAGAGGAGGGAGAGGTGGTGCCCACCTCCACACCTCATTTCTGTTCTCTGCTGCTGCCACTGTCTCTAACGTAGGTTTGAGCTCCAAAGGCTTCTTCTGCGTCTGATTAGCACTTGCTGGCTGATCATCAACGAAAAGGGCCGCCCTGCTGTTTCATTTGTTCTTTTTCCTCGCACTCGGCGACAACTTTCAGTTCCGCCGCCGGTCAGTTCACCCGGCCCGCGCTCCAACCCTGACCGACCACGTGCACAGAAGATAAAACTTATGATGGTGGTGTTTCTTTCCGTGTTCTAGCAGAAGATTTTTCGTTCTCATTTTGCACGTTTGGTGAGTGGAGGAGCGAGGCCATTTGTAAAGCTTTGGAGAAGATGGTGGGGGGTTTAGCCTTATAGGGCTCCCTTTTATTATCAGCGCACGTGTGTGGTTTACCGGCTAAAGGGTTGGCTACGGTGCTTGGAAATGGAGTCGTGTGCGACAATGTCGTTCATTGTGTTCGAGCGTTCCGTGTCTGTGAACGTCATTTTTTGTGCTTGGGGAGGAACAGGCATCTACCTCACCCGGGTCCGTGCTTGGGGAGGAACAGGCATTTTCCGTGTCTGTGAACGTCATTTTTCGTGCTTGGGGAGGAACAGGCAATTGGGCTAACTCAGCTGTTTACACCCATGAGCTGTTTGAAATACGGACCCGAATTCAAATCCAGATGCAACAGGGTGAACAGAATAACATCATTCTGAATCACCTGGGGCAGGTCCGTTCAATGGTCAGATATATATATCAAGCAAGCCTGTCTGCGGTTGGGGGGGGGGAAAAAGGCGTCCGTCTCACCTGATAGGCCGTGGGCTCGATGCTTCTCTTACGGCTTGTATGTTGCATTTGTTTGGTGCAGGATCTTTTTGGCTGAAGTGTGCGGCTGCCCTTTGGACTGGCGTCGCTCTTGTTGCTGGTCGTGCAATTTTATTTGGGTACTAATTCTGTTTCGTTGGTGCCTTGTGGCAGTGCAATTTCGGTCACTGCCATGGAGCTTTCCATCCATCATGTGCTCGTAACTCTGGTCTCTTCATGAGCTTAAAGGTATTGGCAGAGCCTCGTGCCATCTCGTTTTCATGAGCTACGGGTCGGGTTTGGAATCGACAGTGTTAAAAGACTAGTACCTTTGCGGCTTCAGAAATGAGAGGGAAAACGCCCGTGCCCGAAGAATTCGGAGGCTGGGCCCCGAGGACCGGTCGCCATTGATAAATCTAATCGGCGGCCGTCGTCGCTTCGTTTCGGCCTCCGGAAAGGTTGAAGCCCCCCCGCTATTTTCCGAAACGACAAAGGTACTAGTGGTTTAAGGTTCGAGTCTGTTTGAAAGTAATGGGAAGGAGAGAGAGGCCATTTTTGGTTGGAAAACCTCTCTTTGAAACTGCACAAGGTGCTGTGTTCTTCACTTCTGAAAGTTTTATCAGCAAAAGTTTGTGGAACTGAGGCCTTGTAGCCGAAAAGGAAATCCTCCGTTCAAATGCAGTTTCGGGTTCGGAGTCTGAGTCTGTTTGCAAGTATAGCATAGCTTTGGGGAAAAATCTTTGAGCATCGGCCTCTATGTTTTTATGATGTCCCCCTGTTTTTTTTTTTTATGTTTTGTGGGTGATCTATGTGACGTTGCCGAGAAGAAAAAAGTTCGGAAAACACTTTCTGGGCCGTGCAGTTTTCAGCGAAATGTTAAGTGTCCAAATTTGAATCTTTGGGTAGGCAACTTGTCTTTTCCACAGGGCAATGTTAGCACGCTGTAGCGTGTGAAGTGATTGAAGAAGCGAAAGTTGAAAATTTTGGGTCAGCAACTTGTCTTTATTCACAGGGCCATCGTTAGTGCGTCGTACCATGTGGAGTGATTGAAGAAGCAAAAGTCGCCTTGCTCAATTGTTAGTGGTCTGTAAATAGTGTTTTTCTGCGAGCGCCGCATGCTCGTATCTTGTGATATGATTGTGTGTCCTTAACCAAATTGAGTTCCATTCATTAGACGAAGGTTAGACACGACTGCATTCGAAGCATCTAGGATGAACCAAGACGCGACATAGTCGTCACGCAGTTGTGCGCTAGGTTTGTGAAATTGGGTGTTTGACTAGGCTCTACCAAAGTGGCCCGGGGCCACTTGCCCGGCAAGGCCAAAACTTACAATGCGTAGTAGTGCATCATCAGTCAAATGGATAGAGGAAAAACATGAGAACGTCCCCACAAAAGGGATAGAGGGTAATAGTGTCCTTTCTTTATACATGTGTCGACTCTGTCGAGGAGAAGAATGCTATCGTGTGTAAGTGTGAATGCTTGTAACGTGAAGGGCAGAAATAAAATACACACAGTGAATGGAACACAATATTCATGGTAGATTGCTATCGTGTGCGTGCAAGTACTGCGATATTCCAGCTCTCATTGCCCCTGGAGGGGAATTTGTGGGTTCGCTCTGTTGAGTCTGTTCTCTTGTTCTTAGTGCTAACGATTGGTTTCTTTTGCCTCGTCTTTGATATGATGAATTGACTTTCCTCTGACATGAATCAAGTGTGATCGGCCTGCGGTTGGTCTTCGGGATTGGAGTACTTGTTAATAAAGACGGTTGGGGGCATTCGTATACCGTTGTCAGAGGTGAAATTCTTGGATTTACAGATTAAAAAGGAAAAAAGAAGTGATCGGGATGCTGAGGATGACCCCTCACTGGGCTGTGGGCCTCCACATTTGCCAGAGTCGCCAGATATTAGGAATCCAGTTACAGCTATTGGCTGTTTCTGTTGTTTGTGGTGCTTGAGAAGTGTAGTGTGGGGTTAGGGGAGCGGAGGGGGGAGAGAGAGAGAGAGAGAGAGAGAGAGAGAGAGAGAGAGTAAATAGGGAACTGCTCTCCAGTAAGCGACTCGCTGCGCAGGGCTTTTGAAATCCAGTGTAGTGTGGGGKKRGGGGAGCGGRGGGGGGAGAGAGAGAGAGAGAGAGAGAGAGAGAGAGAGAGTAAATATGGAACTGCTCTCCAGTAAGCGACTCGCTGCGCAGGGCTTTTGAAATCCCCAACGTTGGGCTGTGTGGCTGGACTCTACAATTTATTTTCATTTTTTAAATATAAAAACTTCAAAAAAGGACTCAGCTCATTTGATTACAGTCAAATGACAACGATGCAGGCATCCGTGTATATAATCCAGAGACAGAAATGGCCAAATATAGACCGCCGCCCTTATATCTAGAAATTATTCCGGTATGACCGAGTTTCATTCGATAGTTAAAAAATTCTGAAAAAATGTTTTTCCTCCGAAGCGGGAACGGTCGTCCAGCAAGTGACTCGCCTTGCAGGGCTGTTGACATCGCTGCAAGATTGGGATTCGACCAGACCCTGCGAAATTCCACTGACCACTGCAAAGGCCATGGGACCTTACTGCCGTATGCGCGAACTGGCAGAAGCAAATGCGTGTGCCGATTAAGCCATCGATGCATCTAATCGGTGTCGAATTGCAAATTGTTTGATCCAAACGTGTGCGCGAATGAATTCTTGAAACGCCATCAGTGGCTTTATAGAACCAATGAAAGCCAGAGTAAGATATGGCTGACTTTCTCAAGCGAAGCCAAATGAAGGGACCGTGAAAGGTGACGGTCCACCGATGGGTTAACCCCAACCGCAACCCCGTGTTTGTCAATCGGAACTTGATCTAAGGTGGATGTGATGTGGGTAGGATTTGTTTCCATAACGTGAAGGGCCGAAGCTACTCACAATTTGCTTGGTCAGTCACCTGCATCGGTTGACCTCCCTCTCAAGGTGTTATATCTGAAGGGCCGAAGTTACTCACAATCCGCATCTGCACCTCGTGGTGCTTGAACCGTGGTGAAGTCCACTGCGGGGAATCTGATTCAAGAGTGCTTGTGCGTTTCTTTGCAGTCTGGAGTTTTCGGAAATTTTTCTGACATTTGCCGCGTTGTTGCGGAGGCAGCAGTTGCAACGACGGCCTGGCTTCCCTGTTATATATGCGTGTGTGCTTAGTCCGTCGCGCTGATAGGTCGCAATTCTCAGGGTGACTGAGCATGCCTCGGGGATGTCATGTTCTGTAATCTGTTGCTGTCTGTCTTGCAGGTCTGTCCAGGGGGTCGAACCCTTCTGCGAGCGTATTGCCAGCGTCACAGTCCCGTTCAGCGTGTGAAGGTATGTTTTGGCTATGTTGATTAGTCTGCAGAGAACAGGGAACTCAGGGCAACCTCTTGCCTGGCCACCACCTGGGTCGAATTCCCCTAAAGCAAGGGGGATGAGAGCAATTCAGTGCAGCTTTTACCTTTTTGTGTGGGAAGTCTTCCCCCCCCCCCCCCCCCCCCCCCCCCCCCCGGGGGATAATTTGCACCAAAAAAAAACATAGGTCAGACGCCCCTGAAAGATGTAGGTGGAGCAGGAATGCGCTTTTGGGCCGAAATCTTTTTGGTATGCCCCTGCCAGGCCAGTCGGCAAATTTGCAATCTGGACAGCGCCGTTTGGGCCCTGGCCTTCTGGCAATCAAGCCCTGCAAAAGTTGGCAAGGACTGGGGCATTTTGCGAAGTCGGACTGTACCTGGGGTATGTTGCAAAAATGGGGGTTCCAACCGACACCCGGGGTATTTTATGGACCTTGCTTGTCAGAGGGGCAAATGATCATTAAATTTAAGGTGGAAAAAAATAAAAATAAAAATACCGTGTCCTTTGGGACTTTTGTTAAAAATTGGAACGATACAGAGAAAGAAGATTAACACTGTGCAAGGATGACACACATAAATCGAGAAATGGTCCAAATTAAAAAACAAAGTAAAAAAAAAAAAAAAAAAACGTTCCACGTGACTGGCTGAGCTTGTGCTTACTGAATGTTGCATGTACATCCAGCCTTTTTTTTTTCAGAATAATTTTGGTCTGTTCAATCTGTCTGTTCGTTTGGTTGCCTGGAGATATGAACTTGGTCTGTTCTTCAACAGTTGGAGGTGTCTCCACATAGATCCAAACTTTCTTTCTTCCCAGCATAATTTATTAATTTTATAATAATTTTTATTATTCGAACTCTAATTTTAATAATTCGAACTCAGATCTGTATTTCAACAGCTCCAGGTGGCTGACTAGGTGAGTGTATTTTTGTGGTTACCAAATGCTGAATGCGATTCTGAAATATTTTTGTTCTTGCCTTTCCGAAATACTTCTGTTCTTTTTTTTGTTTTTTGGTCGTCAACATATCAATAACGTGGTTGCAGTGCAACCAGCAGTTTTTTTTTCCTGACAAACTCTTTTTTATTATCGGGTCCAGCATCCCTCACAACATGTATACCAATCCGACATATCTGTACCCGTCAACATTTCTCCCTGTTATGGCCCGGGAGAACCTGAGGTGGTGACGGCATCGACTGTTCTCCTTTTTGGAAGGATGTACCACCGCTCCGCAAGAGAGAAAATTTGCTGCAAAATCCCGCTGGGCCTTGACAACATTGAATGCTTCTGCCTGCACTCGCTCTATTCCCTCCTTCCGGTTTCAGTGGTGGCAGCATTGATTGCTTCCTTTAGGGAGGACCGACTGGTCACTCTTGTTCAGTTGGTCGCATCGGGATCCGTACTCGGGTCTGTGTATTTCAATTGGAGGTAGGATACACCGCCGCTCCACCCCTGCTTTGCTTCCGCTTTCCTCTTCCAGCCGGGCGGTGACAGCATTGATTGCTTCCTTCTGGAAGGATCGACTGCCTGCACTCGCTCACTCTATTTCCTCCTCTTCTGATTGGCGTGGTGGCAGCATTGATCGCCTTCCTTTAGGGAGGACTGACTAACTGCTGTGCACTCTTGTTCAGTTGGTTGCATCCCGATTCGTATGCCGGTCTGTATTTCAACAATTCCAGGTGGCTGACTAGGTGAGTGCATCGCGTGGTTACTGAATGTTGCATGCAGGTTCAATCGAAGATTCGCGGTGGACCGGAAGACATGGCTGTGCTCAAGAAAATCAGGGTAATGCGCACAGATTTATCGCACTGACTGGTCACTCTTGTTCAGTTGGTCGCATTGGGATCCGTACTCGGGTCAGTGTATTTCAAGAAAATCAGGGTAATGCGCACTGACTGGTCACTCTTGTTCAGTTGGTCGCATCGGGATCCGTAATGCGCACAAATTTATCAATCAGGCAGGAATGCTTTTGTAGATGATATACCGGACACAATAATGTGGGCTAGCACAATGAGGGAGCTGAGGGTCCTCGATACCGGATGCAATACTGTGGAGTAGCACGATAAGGGAGCGGAGGAGGACATGGGAGATTATTGATCGGTGTGGAAGTGATGTGTTCCTTTTTTCGCTCTTTATGAATGTGTGGGAGCTTGGGGTCGCAAGAAACTCGTCGTCTGCTGAGGATAACTCGTGGTCAGTTAGGAATATCCTTTTGCTGACCCAAGGAATGTGGGGGGAAAAAAACGTACTCATGGTCTGCTACATTTTGCTACTGGGCTAATGAGACGTCAAGGAAGCGGGAAATGAAAGCGTGGTTGTCGAAAGAGCTATTTATAGATGTACTTTCATTTGAACGCGCAAGCAGTCGACTGTCCTGGCAAAAGTTCTTTTGAAAATGGGAGAAGGCGTGCTGGCAAAGCGATTTCCACTCTTCGTAAAATAAGTGATGTAAAAGGATTTTGAACAACTTAAGAATGGAGCACACAGACTCTAGCAAAGTTTGCCAGATGGGAAGCACACGTAAGATGCTACTGCGTCACCCGAATAGAATGGTCGTATCTCGACTGGGTGTTGCATCAATACAGCTATAATGACCGGGCGTTCTATTCGGGTGAAGACAGTAGCAAAGTTCATAAGATGTGTATGGCCAGGCGTGAGAGGTACCCACACGTCCAGATTTTCGAGGGCCGTCGGGGGTGCGCTGGATGCCACAGGATGCGTGGTGCTTTGCCGGGTGCTGCACCCTACCACCGGTTGATCCGATTCCAGGGTGGGCGGGCCGTCAGGAAAGAAAGAGAACCCTCGAAAAGTGGTGGATCATCAAAACATTGTGAAGTCTGAGGCACACATAAGTTGGCAGGAGGTCACACGCTTGAAAGAGTGAAGTTGGCCTGTAGTTGTGACACACTTGAAAAAGGTCACACACTTGAAAGAGGTCACGCACTCGAAAGAGTGAAGTTGGCCTGTAGTTAGGACACCATTGTGCGCGTTTCTAAGAAGGGTAGGAATGCATGAGTTTAGTCTACTCTAAATAACGGTTTTCATGTTGGCGAGGCCCACACACTTGCAAGCGACGCATGTAATGTAAGGAGAACAGACTCATGGTTGCGTGTGTTCTGTGGTGCTGGCTTTTTCGTAATGTGCAGGTAGAATTTGAGCGACTGAGGCTGATTTGTGAGCGAGTTGTCAGACGAGAGAAGCTCAAGGTCTGAAGTCTACGCTTTTTCCTCTCTCTCTCTCTCTCTCTCTCTCTCTCTTTCTCTCCGCTACCCTGACAACCTGTGGAATCCCCATTTTGATGTTTTGACAATGATAGAGCACACTCAAGTAGTCGTGTGATTGTCAGGAATTACTTCATGTATACAATTACCCCGAAAGAATGAAAGGAAAAGGAACAAATGGGAGGGGGAAAAGAATAAATATGACAAAAGCATTCTTAGAGGGGATGAAAGGGTAATAATTTGGGAAAGGTTTTTTGCGCAGCCATGGTTAGTAGTATTACAGCCCATATGAAAAGGGGGGGGGGAGGTGATTTTTTTGCGTAGCCATGGTGTCTCTTTTTTTCCCCCCGTACTAATCCAGAGAAGATAGGACTGGGTACATAACTGTGACGATGAAAAGGAGATTCCAGAAGGAAAAAAAACTGTTAATTGCACAAATCTCCACCTCCGTTGAGATGATTAACCTTTCACAAAAAAGATTTATTTCATACTTCAGAACACCAGTGCGCTCCAGGTGCGGGCTGTTATACGCAGGGTATGTACCAAACTGCAGATGGTTGTGCTGATACATCGGACCTTAAACGTCTGTACTTTTTCCTGTACAAGGCCGCAGAAGGCTGGGGCTCTGTTTAGACTTGAGGCCACCACAGCCAGGGGACCATACTCCTTGTCGAAGAGGGTGACTGTTGCGACAAGGCCGCAGAAGGCTGGGGCTCTGTTTAGACTTGAGGCCACCACAGCCAGGGGATCATACTCCTTGTCGAAGAGGGAGACTGTTGCGACTGCCCTGTCCTATGTAGTTCATCTGGTACTGTGATCAGTTCATGTTTATGCATTGAAGAACGGGAGGGAGGGTGTGTGGGTGTGTGGTTGTGTGGGTGTGTGAGTGCGTGTGTGATAGGAGGACGGCAAACAGTGTGCATAACACAAGGACAATTGCTGGACAGGTAAAGATGCTAAAGAACCAATGAATAACGGGAGTGTGGGTGTGGGTATGTGTGTGTGTGGGGGTTTGCGTGTGTGACAGAGGGAAATGCTGCAGTGTCGGGCAGATGTGTACGCTGCCCAACTGGCAGTTGCTGTGGAGCAAGGGGCGTCCAATCCAGTCGTGATGACATCGTGGAATGCAATCCAGGATCAACAGCATTGGCATCAGATACCGCCACCACAGTACCAACACTATGCCTATGCGACAGCTGCGCAGGAGCAGCCACAGTTCTTTTACACTCATCAGCAGGAGTATGCTCAGACTCATGTCCAGCAGCAGCACCTCCACCAGCACCACCATCAACAGCAGCCACAGCAACAACACGCATTGGTCAGCCCCGTACGAATGTTACCCCAGGCCACACCGGTGGGCCATCTGTCCTCACCGTGGCATCAAACTCTAAGTGCAGTCCCGGTGGACGAGCCCCCGCACAAGAGAAGCAAGCACAGAAGGGAATTCTGCGGAACGCGTTCAAATCATCCGAATCACCCGGAGTTGGCAATGTTGCGACCGCACACGAGGCAATTTCACCAAGACGGTGGTCACCCGGGGTCTTGGGGAGCGCTTACGACGTCGGTGGTGACGGAAGCGGGCGACCCGGGCGGTGCAACGTTGGCTTCGCCGACCACGGCCTCCACTTTGACGCTTCCCTTGATGTGGAAGCAGTATGCGGCTAGTGCTTCGTCAGGAATCCCTGTGGTGACCGCTGACTCTGGGCTTTGCACCATCTCCACGCCGACAGGAATGGTCCACAGAGTAAGCGAACAAAACGAGGACGTGACAACGGTGGTTTGCCTTCCGGGGCGGCCGGGCGTGACCCCGGAAGCTCTTGCTGTCACAAGGACCGTCCCTGTTGCAGGGATCGTCATGCCGGGACTCCGACAAAACATGCAGCAAGAAGTCATACAAGCTCTGCCGCAAGCTCTTTCCCCAGGTGTAACACAGATGGTACCTCATGTAATTCCACAGTCTATTACCCATGTTGTGCAGCAACATACCCATCCGTTGGCGACCCGTTTGGGCAGCGGAGATTCACGGCAAAAGAGAAGTCATCATGACAAGGATAAGAGAGCTGGACGGAAGCACAAGAAGGTGTGTCGACTTTTCAGCCCTGTTTCAACCCCCACCATGTTATATTTTTTGTATTGGTTTCACCGAACGTTGTAAAAAACACTCCCATGTGGTGAGTCGAAACACAAGTTTGATTGCTTAAGAATTCGGACAATCAAATTCAAAGGTCCAGTGATGAGTCTGGGTCGAGTCGGCAACACTACTTGCATTTGGACAAATTTCTTGACCAGGTGCATCCCGACGAGTCCGACATTTCGAATGTATGGGGTCCAGAAAGCGTCCAAATACGTGTTGACATTACAGATTGTTATGCAAGGCTCAATGTGCTCGACTGTCTCTCTCACATCCTCCCCAGGATGCAAACATTCGACTCTGTGTAATCGTTTTCACTGGAACGTCTTTCCTTGCCCCAAGGCAATGGAGCGATGGAAGCATTCGAGCGACAAGGGGGCGAGGCATTGGGTGTTTTTTAATTTGGTGATTTTTAACTATCATCTAATTTGTCCCCAAAACATTATGGATGCAGTGTATATGTACCGTGTTCAATTCAATCAATTAAAATAGAAGGAAATAAGCATCACCTCACCTGGTCAAGAAAGTGTGTTTATTACAGTGTGTGAACATATGGCTGTCACCCCCGACTGAAATGCAGCAGCAGTCGCCAAACTGTTAGGTTTTATTGAGGCTCAGGAAATAACATCAGGCCTGTGTCACCACAGATGCAGGGGAATTGCACGGGAAATTAACTTTTATTCCTGCCATCAATGAGGTGAACACGGGGGGGAAATTGCAGAAATAGCACGTTCCCATCAATTAGATGAATATTGGGGGTAATTGCAGAAATTGCGTGTTCCCATCAGGGGTAATTGCAGAAATAGTGCGCTCCCATCAATTAGTTGAATATTGGGGGTAATTTAACCGTAATTGCAGAAATAGCGCGTTCCCATCAACTAGTTGAATATTGGGGGTAATTGCAGAACTAGCGCGAGTTTCGAAGGTCGGCAGCAAAAATGTTGTACGGGTCCAGAAGATCTATTTTTGCTGTGGGACTACCGGGACCTCTAAAGCTTGCAAATGTTTTTGCTGTGAAAAAAAACGGGACCTCTAGGAAAGTGGGATTCTGCTTGCAAATGTTTTTGCTGTGAAACTACCGGGACCTCTAAAGCTGCAACGAAGATATATGTTTGCAATGAAACATGGGCCCCGCCAATATTTTTGCTGTGAAATTACGTCGACGACGGGCTTTTTTGAAACTTACCCTGAATATTGTGAAGACAGGCTGGTCAAGCCATAGGTGCAGTACGTGGTGTAGGTACCAATTGATGTGATTGAATTTCTTTGCGAGTGGAGGGTGGGGAGTGGGAAGGGCGAAAAACTTGTTTAAAAATATCCTGTTGCGCCCTTCGGCACGTCCCGTTAAGATGGGAACAACGCAGAGAAGATTGGCATTGCCCCTGTGCACGCGTGTCAATTGAGAATAGGTCCCCCCAAAAAATTAAAATTATCCTGTTTTGTCCTTGCTTGAAGTGGAGGGTGGAGGGAAGAGCGAGGAGATGGGAGAGGGAAGATGCTGAGTGCTTTGACATAGAAACATCTCTTGCTTTGCGCTGTTCAGACACGTGTACGCTCGGGTTCTTGGCATGTATGGTTGTTGGTTGATATAGCTATGCTAAGGTACTGCCCAACTTCCCCCCGACCCCCCCGAACACGGTTATGAATGCATCTGCCTGGTGAGACGGCTAATATACATAAACAAAAATGTGCGTTGTAATCCGGGGAAGACAGTAGGTGCGTGGTTCTGAGGTGCTGCGTGTGGCTCGAGGTTACGGCTGCTTTGCCCTCTTGATGTTTTGTCGTGGAGGCTCTCGGTTCGACAGGGGTGGCCAGAGCGTTTAGGGAGTATAGTGTTGGTGTCTTTGTCGCGTTCGATGGCCCACGTTTGGTGTTTTTTTATTCCTACATGGAGGCTCGCAAGAGTCGGACCTGCGGCGGAGCCTCTGCCAGGCTGAAAACAGTGAAAAGCATGACTGCAATCAATAAATTTATCTTCGTAGATCATGTCCAGTATGACCTGCATCATAGCTTTTTGGACTATTTTGAAGATAAAGCGGCCTCTTCCAATGTCGGTCGCTTTATCCGGCGCGAAGCGCCCTTGTTGAAGAAGAGTTGCTTGTCTATGAATGTAATCATTCAATTCTTTTGCGGTGATTGTTGCATGTCTGCAGAAAGAGAAGGGCATGTCAGAGAGGCTGATGACACCTTCTGAGGCAAATGCGCAGAACAGCAGACTTCCTAAAGGCTATATATACATGCCGGTTGCAAGTCTCTTGCAGCCTATGAAGACAGGAGCGCCAGTTGTAACAGTGGTCCCCACTACGTCTTCGATGGATACCCATCACCAGCTGCCGCAGCATCACCCTCATGCTTTCCCTCGACAGACACATTAGTAGGAAGTAGGGAGTGGTAGGGAGGCATCCCAGCAAACCATATGAGAAGTTCACCGTACGAGATCATAGTTCGTATCCATGTCGCTGGAGGGGCTACGGAGGATGCTACTGTCGGCGTATGAGTGGCTGCAGGGAGGCACTTAGTCTCTTACACTACTTTTTCTGTTTGGAAGTTTCTCAATTGCTGTGAAGGTTGGCCCTACCAAGCCCCATCAAGATAATGTACAAGTTCTTCTGCTCCACAATGCGCATTTGATCTGATACCGTCCACCAGCAGCATGGCCAGACATGTGTGTGCATGCATGCACGTGTGTGTTGTGTCTGTGTGTGTGGCAGGTTGCCTGTGTAAGATGTGTGTGTGTGTGTGTGTGTGTGTGTGTGTGTGAAAGAATGGGTGTGGATTAACAGCAGTGTTTAGCCACCTGCAAAATACGGTATAGAATCTTATAGCAGGGGACTGCGAGAGGGAGCGCGTGCATGTGCGTGTGTGTTGGGGGTGGGGGTGGGGGGAAAGGGTGCAGTGTGCGAGTGGCAGATGAAAAGCGTCGTTATTGATTCTTTGCGGTGAGTCTTCCTTTGCTTCGCCTCAACCATGTGTTCCTTATAATCATCACAGAAAAAAGAAAGGTATATTAAGTCATCACAGAAAAAAGAAAGATATATTAAATTTTGAAAGTGGGGGGCGTTGCCAAGGTTGAATCCCATGGAACAGAGCATGCAGAGATCCTGCTCTCTCTCTCTCTCTCTCTCTCTCTCTCTCTCTCTCTCTCTCTCTCTCTCTTCGTTTGTTTTTAATCATGGTCTGTGTCTCCTTTATACCGCCGATTCTTCACTGCTTCCATTTTCTTGTCATGCCTCCACAACTCACCACGTGCTTGCAAAACTGCTTCTGTATCTTCTCTGTGAACTCCCTGTGTCTAACTTAAGGGCCTCGCTCCACACCACATGCACAACGGACAAAATATGCACAACGGACAAAATATGGCAGCGTATCTCTCCATGTTCGAGCGCGAGATTCATTCTCGTTTTGCAGATTTGGTGAGTGATGGAGCGAGGCGCTAGGTATCTGAGGATTGAGTGTGCAGGATCTCTGTCTGCCAATCTGTTTCCACCTGTTTGTATCTGCCCGTATTTAGATCTATGTTGTATATCCTTGTCTCCGACATGAGGACGATTGATCGACGAGGAGTATTTACTATTTACACAGATGAGTAGTATTTACACCACAAGTACGTCTCTATCGACCCCCTCCGCCTCCTTCGTTCGTCATTCTCCTCTTTTTTTTGTTCTTTTTTTTTTCAAGGGTATTTTCCGGTCCTCTTTTTTTTGTTTTTGGTGGGGAGGTGCGGGGGGACGGAGAGGAAATTATGCAATTCAAATCTCCTAATCATCCACCTTCTGAACCCTCTCTCTCGCCCCCCTGCTCCCCCCCCCCCCTAAGAGCCCCACCCACTCCCCCCCCTCTCCTTCCTTCTCCAATTTGTCTGTTGTTTCTGTCTCGATTGTACTTGTTTTTATTTACTTATTGTATGTAGATCTATGGTGTTATTGTCCTGTAACCATTCTCATAATGAATGCTGGGCGCGGTTGTCTTTTGCCAAACAATAAATAAAAATACGGTGTAAACAATAAACAAATAGGTAAATAAAAATAATCGGTGTTCAACCAATTGCTGGCTATTCCCAGTGATCTCCTTTCACGATGAGCTTGAGTCGTTGATGTGAGTTCTTCACTACGAGTTTTTTTTTTTTTTTTTTTTTTTTAAACAGAACCTTACGGTTCCTGCTCCTTTTCCATTCTGGGGAGCATCAGTCCGGTTCCTATTCCACCGGCAAGTCAGGCTCGACGGCGTTGAGTAAGTCGTGTCCGTCTTGTTGTGTAGGTGTTATCTACTTGTCACCGAGACGAGATGGAAGCAGATTTATCGACGCGTATTTACCCCACAAGCGTCTATCTTCATTCATCATTCCCAGTCTACCTTCATTCGTCATTCCCAGCAAGGAGATTAAGATTCGCTGTTCGCCAAGCTGTTTCCGTTTGATTGTATCTCTACCGATATGTAAATCTAGGTTGTAGTTGTGATGAGCTCAGCGACCGACTTCGCCATTCTCAGCAAGCTATCTATGTGATGAGATGGGCCGTAAGCACTCTTTTCTGTGGTATGTTTTCATTACACTATTGTAGCTGGAAGGGAGAGTGCAGCTCCAACGCAGACTCAACACGCGCGTACTCCAAAGCGTGCAACAAATGAAGAATGAGCTGAAAACAGACTACAGCTGGGGCTCCAACGCTGCGGCTCAACACACCTACTCCAAAGTGTGCAAATGAAGAATGACCTGAAAACAGACTGCAGCTGGGGTATCCCCCCAGCGGACTGACTCGACTGGACTTGACTGGACTGGACTGGACTGGCCTGGCCTGGTACCGACAGTGGTAGGGCAGGACTGGACTGGTACCGACAGTGGTACCGGGCAGGACTGGACTTTACTGGACTGGTACCGAGAGTGGTACCGGGCAGGACTTGACTGGACTGGTACCGACAGTGGTACCGGGCAGGACTGGACTGGACTGGACTGGACTGGACTGGTACCAGCAGTGGTACCGGGCAGGACTGGACT